ATAATTAACAATCTACTTATTTCTATTTAAAATTAATTTTATGATACAATTTAAATTATTTATTATAAATTTAAAAGTTTAAGTAATAATTTATATATTTTAAAATGAGAAGGGTTATAATAACACTGGTATAACTTTTATACTAAGTATTACACCGCTCAATAAATTTATATTAAATGTGAATTTTGTAAATCCAACCGATAGATTGAAAGTTCATATCACTTTATATGTTTATATCAATTTTTGTTAAAATTAAACAACAACTTAAAAGTAATCAAAGTGCTCATATTTTATTTGAAATGTATATATTACGTCAATTTTGTTTTACAAGAATGAAGTATCAAATCATCTTGAATTCATATAAGATTTTGTATATATGATCTAAGAGTAAAAAACTTTCAATCTAACGGTTGAATTTATAAAATTCACATTTAATATAAAGTTATTGAGCGATGTAATACTTAGTAAAAGTTACACCGGTGTTATTATAACCCTTCTCTTTTAAAATATTATTTTTATAAATTAAATTTTAACATTTTAAATAAATTATTAATTAACTTAATATATTTATTCATCTTAAATCTAAGATATAAAATTCAAAAAATGTATTTATCCTTGTTTTATTTTCTAATTATCAACCATTAATAAAATACTAATTTAAAATTTAAATATAAAAATTTATTTAAAAATAAAGTTATCATAAATTAGAAATATATATTATAAATATGGATAAAAAATAAATAAGAAATTTTAAAATTCATATACTCTAATTAAAAAACTGCCTAAAAATCCAATCGTAAAAAAAAACCTCTAAATATTTTTTCACATAAATAACTATTGGTATTAATTATGTAGGAGTGCATATAAATATTTTTTTAATATAAATTAATTTCTTGCTCTTACAAAAAAAAGAAAATGGGATTGATACTCAACAACAATATTATCATCACTTTTAAGCAATTTATAATTTTTTTAAGTTTTACTTAGTGACCGAATAGAATTTCATCGCTACTTTTAACTAATATTTAGCGATTGAATAGAATTTTGTTGCTAATTTTAACTAATATTTAGCGACCAATAGAATTACATTGCTAATTGTAACTAATATTTAGCGATCGAATTTAATTCTGTCGCTAAAAAAATCAAAATTTCTGATTTAGAGGCCAAATTCAATTTCATCACTAATTTTAAGTAATATTTAGCGACCGAATTCAATTCTGTCGCTAAATTTAACTATTATTTAGCGACCGAATTCAATTCCGTCGCTAAAATATCAAAATTTCTAATTTAGCGACCGAATTCAATTCTGTCGCTAAATTTAACTACTATTTAGCGACCGAAATCAATTCTGTCGCTAATTTTAACTAATACTTAGCGACTGAATTCAATTTCGTTGCTAAATTTAACTACTATTTAGCTACCAAATTCAATTCCGTCGCTAATTTTAACTATTATTTAGCGACCGAATTCAATTCCATCGCTAATTTTAACTAATATTTAGCTACCGAATTCGGTCGCTAAAAAATCAAAATTTATAATTTAGCGACCGAAATAGTGATCGAATTCAATTCTATCGCTAAATTTAACTACTATTTAGCGACCGAATTCAATTCCATCGCTAATTTTAACTAATATTTAGCTACCGAATTCGGTCGCTAAAAAATCAAAATTTATAATTTAGCGACTGAAATAGCGACCGAATTCAATTTTGTCGCTAAATTTAACTACTATTTAGCAACCGAATTCAATTTCGTCGCTATTTTTAACTAATATTTAACGATCAAATTAAATTCCGTCGCTAAAAAAAATCAAAAATTATAATTTAGCGACCGAAATAGAGACTGAATTTAATTCTGTCGCTACAAAAATTCAAAATTTATAATTTAGCGACCGAAATAGCGACCGAATTTAATTTCGTCGCAAAAAAATCAAAATTTCTTATTTAGCGACCAAAATAGCGACTGATTTTCTAGCGACGACTTATTTTGGTCGCTAAATCGGTCGCTATTTTGATTTTTCATAATCGGTCGCTAAATCAGTCGCTATTTAAATTTCGGTCGCAATTTTGCAATTTTCTAGTAGTAAGAGGCCCCCACAGCTCTGAAAGAAGTTAGACCTATTAGCCTTTGTAATGTGACCTAGAAAACTATCTCCAAGGTCCTGGTAGCTCGACTTAGACCTTTTTTGGGTGATCTTATTGGCCCTTTTCAAGGTAGCTTCATTCTTGGGCGGGGCACAAGAGACAATCATGTATTATTTCTCAAGAAGTATTAACTCACACCCACATAAATAACTCAAGGGTGGGTTCGCTGGTATTGAAACTTTATTTAGAGAAAGCTTACGATAGGGTGAGCTGGAGGTTTCTGGAGGCTGCATTATTAGGAAAGTTGTTGTGGGATTTTGTTGAAAATCCAACCAAACCCTGGGTTCGCCTTCTCTCTCAAGAATATCTTAATGGTCAGTCAATTCTATATGCCACTAAGCAGAGGGGAAGTTCTCAAGTGTGGCTTAGCATTGTGAAAGCAGTGGGGAAGTTGTGGGAGGGATTCCGGCCCTGTCTGGCAGATGGGCAATCCTCCATGTGGTTTGATGATTGGCTGGGAGTGGGAGCCTTGGGTCGCCTGGTTCAATTCGTACATATTTCTCATTCAGATAGAAATGTGGCCATTTTTTGGGAACAAGGGAGATGGAAGTTTGACACATTGAGTATGGTACTTCCCTCAAAAATTACGACAAGGGTTCAACAGGTGCAAGTTCCGTTGGTTCAGAGTGGCAGAGATACTTTTGCTTGGATAGGTGAAGCCTCAGGTTGTTACATATTGTCATCCGGAGTCAAATTTTTGGAGCATGCCTCTCATTCGACTCTTGATGCGATTTGGCGAAAAGTTTGGAGGTTGGAGGTGCAAGTTAAGATTAGCTTTTTCCTCTAGCAAGGGCTGCATGGGGCTTTGCCTACCAACCATGCTCGCTATAGGCACCATTTGGCTCCCTCTAGTGCTTGTGCGCGTTGTTCCTGTAGTCTAGAGTCCATCATCCATACCCTTCGAGATTGTCCACACTATCGTCAAATGTGGTTTGATTTTGGGCTCGCGTCCCAAATTTCCTTTGCCGAGATGGAGTGTGTAGCTTGGCTGCGATCAATCATACTACATCCTCAAGTGGTTGTGTTAGCTAATCTACTTTGGTGGCTTTGGAGGTTTCGGAATAACATGACGTTTCTCGGTAATAAGTAGTCCCTGTCTTACTTGTATCATTAGATTGAAGAAGCTCGGGTGCAAAACCAGATTTATCTTGTCAAACGTAAATTGTGGCAGGTAAACGTTCAATGGAGTCCCCTAGAACCATCTTGGGTTAAGCTTAATGTGGATGGCAATTTTGTCCCCTAACATAATGCTATGGGGGCTGGTGGTGTTGTGCAGAATTCAGTAGGGGAATGGAAACTTGGGTTTGCAGTTGGCCTCTAGGGCGGTGACCCCTTCCGGGCGGAACTACTAGCAGTTGTCGAAGGCCTTGAGCTTTGTTGGAAGGAAGGGTGTAAGAAGGTTATTTGCGAATCCGATTGTCTAGGTGTTATCAAAATAGCTATGTGTGCAGGGCGAGGGGCTCAACTTAGACATAAATACTATGATATTATTAAGAGGTTGGCGGATCAGTGTTCCCGAGCTTGGGAGGTGGAGTTTGTTTGTATCCCTCGCGAAATCAATAATATGGCCCGTTCTCTAGCAAGGTGGGATGTCCAACATTTGAACTCGATTGTTTCATGAAGGAGTCCTCCAAATTTTATTTTATTTGCTTTGGGGGTTGATTCTATGTCATCCCGGTTCTAGTATATTTTTTCCTTTTATCTTTCATAATGATACCATAATGCCCCTGCAACTGAAGCGACGCCAGCTAAGGGCTCGAAATCCTAGGACGGCCTCGCATGCAACGGTCACTGTCACCAAAGGACACGACTCCCGAGACGAGTACGAAAACCCTAGAAACCCACCAAACCTATTCAAACCCCTTCGTCTTTCCACCTTGGGCTTGGGGGGCAGTGTACTAGTAGGCACCTCCTCCGCCAGCTCACGAGCCGAAACAGCCACCAATACCCCTTCGACAAGATGTCACCCCTTCGGCCGGATCATAAGCCGAAACTAGCGACAAAATCGAAGACACCACCTCTTCGGCCCGCGCCTCAGCCGAAACCTCCTTTCGGCCCCGAGCCGGACCAAAGCCAAACAACCTTGGAGGTAATACAAGGGAACACCCGAAGAACAAAAACATCTAAGTTACCTGAGACACCCCTTCGGCCTCACGCCAGGCTGAATATCCCTTCGACCTCACGCCAGGCCGAACACCCCTTCGGCCTCAAGCTTGGCCGAGCACCCCTTCGGCCTCGAGCTTGGCCGAGCTCCCCTCCGGCCTCAAGCTTGACCGAGTACCCCTTCGACCTTAAGCTTGGCCGAGCACCCCTTCGACCTCAAGCTTGGCCGAGCACCCCTTCGGCCTCGAGCTTGGCCGAAGACCCCTTCGGCCTCGAGCTTGGCCGAAGACCCCTTCGGCCTCAAGCTTGGCCGAGTACCCCTTCGGCCTCGAGCTTGGCCGAAGACCTAAAAAGAAAGTCAACTCATGGAGGACACATGGCAGGTCAAGATATCCATTACACGATGATTACCTCGTCTAATTAAGAAGGATTAAGACTAATTAAGACAATTACCCATCTCCCAATACAGAAGGCCCACCAGGCCCAAATACGTCCCTATAAATACACAGGTGATGGGACATATGCCAAGTACGATTTATTCTATATAAAGCACTATTTGCTCTATACCGAACACTTACTTGATCGTCGGAGTGCCTTTGCAGGTACCCTCCCCACCATCGGAGACAGTATTCGGTCGGCCCGAAGACTTAGAAGATCAAGGAGAAGGAACGACAAGAGGAGTGTTTCTACGCAGGAACATTTTGGCGCCCACCGTGGGGCCGAAAACCAACACGGTTCTCGACCCAAGAGCAAGATGGTAAAAACTAGAAGTCATCAAGAGAACGTCGTAGTCCACCCTTACAGGATGCCCCGAGACGACACCAGACAGCAAGCAAATCAGAATGAGGAAGTAATGGAAGAATCATATGTAGATCGGTCCCAACAACCCAACCCATCATCAGCCATCGAACAGCTGAAGGCCGAAATGATGGAACTAAAAAGGCTTAGAGAGAAAGACGCCCATGAGTTGTCGATCTTAAGGAAAGAAAACGTCGAGCTGAGAAGTGACAACCGATCATGGCACCCATCTCACGATATTCTCAACACCTAATCAACCCGGGATCAGGGGGAGTCGTTGGGATGGTACAAAGAAATAAGGGCCCCAAAGTCCCCAGCAGGGATAACGACAACTACTCTCGATCAACAACGACGACAGGGGAAAACTCCTTTCACCCCAAACATAGCCGAAGCCCGACTGCCCGACAATTGGAAGAATTTGGCACTGGAGAAGTACGACGGAACCACCGATTCGGAAGAACACCTCGACGCATTTGTCACCCAAGTTAGCCTGTACACTGATGATGATGCCATCATGTGCAAAGTCTTCCCCACCTCACTCAAAGGACCGGCGCTAAATTGGTTCACGAGACTCCCGTCCGGATCCATCGATTCATTTACAGCTTTAGCCTCTCGATTTGTGATCCAATTTGCCACAAGCCGTCCTCATCAGCTGACGTCAATAGCATTGGTCAACATTCGTCAAGAGAAGAAGGAACCTTTGAGAACCTTCATGGAAAGGTTTGGAAAAATGACACTATCCATTCGCAACCTCGACCCGGCTGTAGCAATGCACCACTTAACCACAGCCTTAAGACCCGGACCTTTCATCAACAGCTTATGTAAAAAGCCTCCCCTGGACCTCGACGACTTGAGGCAGAGAGCCACGAAATATATGCAGATGGAGGAACTGGCTGAGTTTCGAAGCCAAAATCGACCTGACTTGTCCCTCACAAAGAAAGAAGCTGAGAAAGAACACATCCCAAGGCCTCGCCCTCGGGACCTGCCCGATAGAGAAAGAACCAACAGGGGACCCCGATATACACAGTACATGCCGCTCAACGCCAGTAGGACCAAGGTATTGGAGCAAGCATTAGCCACTGAAATACTAGCAGTACCACGTCATGCCATGACCCCGCCCCGCGCGGATAAAACCAAGACGTGCCAGTTTCATAGAAACCGGGGACACACCACAGAAGAGTGCACAGCCCTTCGAGATCGCATCGAAGACCTCGTCAAGTCCGGCCACCTTCAAAACTTCACTCAATCCTCAGGAAGAAGGAGATACGACGAGTCCCATGAAAAGAGAAGAGGAAACCGTGAAAGGGCACCCCCGCGGCACCGATCCAGGGAACGAAGCAGATCGCCAGAGAGGAATGACAGGAAACAAGACCAAAATCAACCCAGGAGAGTCATAAACACCATTGCGGGGGGAGGAAGCACATCCTCGGCCCGAAAGAGACACCTAAGGGCAATCAAATCGGTAAATGCCGTAGGAAGGGTAACCCTCATTCATATGCCCCCCATTACATTCACCGATCAAGACTTCAAAGGAGTAGACCCAGTACAGGATGATCCAATGGTCATCAGCGTGGAGATCAACAACTGCGTTGTCAAGAAAACACTGGTCGATCAAGGTAGCTCAGCTGATATATTATATTGGAAGACTTTCGAACAGCTCGGCATCCCTGAGCAAGAGTTGAAACCTTACTATGAGCCCCTGGTTGAATTCTCTGGTGAACGAGTGGATACACAAGGAACTATCGACTTGTACACTTATTTCGGCGATGACCACCATGGACGAAGAATCAAAGTTCAATATGTCGTGGTGAACGCCAACACTTCGTACAATATCTTGCTGGGCCGACCATCCCTGAACAAACTTCGGGCCATCGTCTCTACTCCCCACTTGGCTATGAAATTCCCCTCGGCAGAAGGAACGATTATCACTCTACATGCAGACCAAAAAATAGCGCGTGAATGTTACTTCGCCAGCCTTAGGATTCAACCCACTCCCAAACCGACCTGAGACGTCAATGTGATAGCCGATGTGAGCCTACACAGGCCGATTAATATCTGGAACTAGATCCTAGGTTGGAAGATGAAGTCAGGGTTGAACCAATTGAAGCAACAATCCCATTTCAATTGGGAAAAAATGGAAAGCAAGTCACTTACCTAAGTTCTCAACTAACAGAAACCGATGTCGAGGACATCAAACAAGTTCTGCGAAAATACTCGGACTTGTTTGCCTGGACAGCGGCCGACATGCCAGGAATCGACCCAAACTTCCACTACCATCGGCTTTCGGTCTGCCGAGATGCCAAACCCATTGCACAGAAGAAGAGGAAAATGGGAGGAGACAGGGCCCGAGCGGTAAAGGAAGAAACGGCCAAATTACTACAAGCGGGTTTTATCAGAGAAATCAAATACTCTACCTGGCTGGCCAATGTCGTCATGGTCAAAAAAGCGAATGGAAAATGGCGAATGTGTACAGACTACACAGATCTCAACAAAGCATGTCCCAAGGATGCTATCCCCTTCCACACATCGACACATTAGTTGATGGGGCTGCGGGTCATCAAAGGCTAAGCTTCCTGGATGCCTACTCAGGGTATAATCAAATACCCATGTACCCTCCAGACGAAGGAAAAACCGCATTCATCACCGACTCAGCCAACTTCTGTTACAAGGTAATGTCGTTCGGATTAAGAAATGCGGGGGCAACTTATCAACGACTCATGGATAAGATCTTCCAGTGCCAAATAGGGACATGCTTGGAGATATACGTGGACGACATGGTAATCAAGTCGGCCTCCGCCAGTAATCACCTAAAAGATCTCAGGGCAGTGTTTGACGAAGTAAGACGATATCACATGCGGCTAAACCTGGCAAAGTGCACCTTCGGAGTCGCTGGCAGAAAGTTCCTGGGCTTCATGCTATCAAAAATGGGCATAGAAGCCAACCCAGACAAGTGTTAGGCCATCGTCAACATGAGAAGTCCCCGAAATATAAAGGAAGTACAACGGTTAGCTGGACGCATAGCATCATTAGCCCACTTTCTGCCATGCATGGCCGAGAAGTCAAGGCCCATAATGACTTTGTTAAAAAAGGCAAAAAAAATTCCAATGGACAGAAGAGTGTGAAGTCTCCTTTCAAAACTTCAAAGCAATACTCACAGCACCACCGTTACTCGCAAAACCCGACCCTCAGCTAGACATGATCATGTACATCTCCGTATCGGACAAGGCTATCAGCACAGCCCTGGTGCAAGAACAAAATGAACAAGTGCCTGTCTATTTTATTAGCCGAGTCCTGCAAGACGCCGAGACTCGATACCAACACCTTGAAAAGATGGTTTTAGCACTCGTACACACAGCCAGACGTCTCAAGCACTATTTCCAAAGTCACTGAATTGTCATCAGGACTGACTACCCAATTGTAAAAGTATTGCAGAAACCCAAATTGGCGGGGCGGATGGTCGCTTGGTCCATAGAGCTATCACAATTTGACATTCGTTTTGAACCAAGGGGGCCCATCAAGGCACAAAGCATGGCCGACTTCATTAATGAATTAACTCCAGAAGCACAGTCTGAACCACACATTTGGACTCTCCATGTAGACGGGTCATCAAATCAACAAGGTAGTGGAGCGGGCATCATACTCGAAGGTCCTGGCAAGATGCTTATAGAACTATCATTACGATTCGGCTTCAAAGCCTCCAATAACCAAGCTGAATACGAGGCTCTTCTCGCAGGATTAAGACTGGCAAAAGACTTGAACATCACCAGTGTCAAGTGTTGGAGTGACTCGCAAGTAGTGACGAGTCAAGTCAATGGAAATTTTCAAACTAGGGAGCCGACGCTCCTTCTGTACTTCCACGCTTTCCAGACATTGAAAGATAGCTTCCAACAGGTCCACGTCGAATATATCCCCCGGGAACTCAATGTGAGAGTTGACCAGTTGGCTAAACTAGCAAGCAGCAAGAAGAACAGTCATTTGCGAAGCATCATGCAACAAGAATTGCAAGCACCAAGTGTTGGGGCAACCGAATGTTTGCACATACAACAAGGAGACAACTGGATGACCGGCATAATGTGTTACCTGTCCACCGGACAGTTACCCACTGACTCTCTCGAAGCAAAGAAACTAAAGGTCGCAGCTGCCCGATACACGCTAATCGCCGGAGAACTATATAAGCGAGGCATGTCGTCACCTTTGTTGAAATGCCTCACACCCGAACAAGCACATTATGTCCTTCGGGAAATCCATGAAGGAATATGTGGCAGGCACTCGGGAGGACGAACCTTAACCGCCAAAGTAATTCGCGCCGGCTACTATTGGCCGACCATCACGACTGATTGCATGAAGTTCACCCAACAGTGCAAGCCATGTCAGCAGCACGGCCCGTTGACACACTTGTCGGCCGAAGACTTACACTTCATCACCACTCCCTGGCCTTTCTCAATATGGGGTATGGATATCTTGGGACCCTTCCCACTAGCCAAGGGGCAGGTCAAATTTCTTATAGTGGCAGTCGACCATTTCACCAAATGGATCGAGGTAGAAGCAGTTGCCACTATTTCGGCCAATAATGTCCAAAAAAATTTCTGGAAGAATGTCGTTACCCGTTTCGGTATACCTTATGCCCTTATCACGGATAACGGCTTACAATTCACAGATCGTCGTTTCAACGAATTCCTGGTGGGACTCCAAATCAAACATCGAGTTACATCGGTAGAGCACCCCCAATCCAACGGCCAGGCAGAAGCAGCCAACAAGGTCATTTTGAGAGAATTAAAACGACGCCTTGGACAAGCCAAAGGGGAATGGCCGGACCACTTACACGAGATTCTGTGGGCCTATCGATGCACTCCACAGAGCTCAACCAGAGAGACACCCTTCCGTTTAGCTTATGGAACCGATGCCATGATCCCAGTAGAGATCGGCGAGCCTTCCCTTAGACGACAATAATTCACCGAAGAAACCAATGCGGAAGCGTTAAATGTGGAGCTCGACCTAATTGAAGAGGCACGCGATTGGGCACTCATTAACATGGAAGTTTGTAAAACACGCGTCTCCCGAAAGCACAAAACCAAAATCAAGCCCAGGGAATTTCAACCCGGAGACCTTGTGTGGCGAGTAGTGGGAGAAGCCAGAAGAAACCGAGCTCAGGGAAAACTAGCCCCCAATTGGGACGACCCGTTTCGAATAAGGCACAACCTTAACAAAGGAGCTTACAAACTTGAAGAGCTCAATGGGAAGATGGTCCCCCAGACGTGGAATGTCACACATTTAAAGCACTATTTTAGTTAGCTAACATCATGTAATTGTTTCGGTGTACTCTTTTCCTTTCTGAGGTTTTATCCTCTTATAAAAAGTATGAAAGAGGTTTTTCTGGGAAAGGTTTTTAACAAGGCACCATATCAATGAAACAAGCTTCTTTTTTGAGAAATCTTCCACTCGCCCATTTTGAACACATGAACAAAATCCCTCCCGAGATAGCCTCTCGGCTAAGGTTGATGAACGAAATCCCTCCCGAGATACCCTCCCGGCCAAGGTCGATGAACGAAATCCCTCCCGAGATACCCTCTCGGCCAAGGTTGATGAACGAAATGAACGAAATCCCTCCCGAGATACCCTCTCGGCTAAGGTTGATGGACGAACTCCCTCCCGAGCACCCCCGCTCGGCCAAGGTTGAAAACTTAGTTCCCTCCCGAGTACCAACTACTCGGCCAAGGACGAACATAGACTCCCTCCTCGAACACACTCGATCGGCCGAGGAGGAGTCTTCAAATTCCCTCCCGAATATTCTCAGTCAAGGATAAAATAACAAGTTTCCTCCCAAACACCCCCTCTCGGCCAAGAATGACTACATGATAACCTCGCGAGCAAATCAACATATTCACTCGGAAGATTGAGCTCCTACCGAGTACAATTCATTCGGCCAGAGACATGCACATCCTCCCTCACTCGTCTCGGTCACTAACGACCACATCTACATCGTTTTAACTTAACATAAAGTACTTCAGAAAGACAATAGCAACAAAGCAAAGTATGGGAAAAAGAAACAAATTCATTAAAGGCCACATGGCCAAAGCGGCACTACCGGCCAGAGGTACAATTGTAGTGGCTCAAATGGCCGAAACAAATCAACAAAAAACAAAAGGATACCCTAAGTCTTTACATCTTGAACAAAACAGATGTATGAACCAAAAAACAAAAGGCCGAGGCATCCCTAATCGGCGTTAGCAGTTTGCTCGGTCTCCTCGTCATCATTCAAGGTAGTGCCGAGGTCTTCAGGAGCCGCCGATCGGGGAGGGGCCGCTTGATCGGGCTCAGCATTGGGGTCGGCCTCGGCATAATCCAGATACACCCCTTGGAAGAAGTCCTTGCTAAGATCGAAGGAGAAATCCGGAGGAAAGGTGCCGAAGTGGGTCGCTTGCCGAGCACAATGCCAAAACCCCTCTTCGTGCTCTTTGGCAATTTTTCTCTCAACCTCGGCCCGAAAGACGGCCATGGCTGCATCGGCTTTAGCTTTAGTTTGTTGTTGCCGAGCTGATAGTTCTCTTACTTCTCGGACCCTCTCTCGCTCCGCATCCTCCGCTGCAAGAGCTCGGCCCTCCATCTCCGAGTAGGCCTCTTTCAGTCGGGCCACCTCGGCCTCCAACGACAGTTTTTCCCCAGAAGTGACCTCATGTGCCTCAATGGACTGGTGCAGGGCCGACTTGGTCTCCTCCAAACTCTTCTTTAGCTGATGAACATTGGCCATTGGTTCCAAGGCTAACTTCCTAAGTATGGCCGTCGCCCTTACTTGCAACTCACAAGCCATGGCCCATTGGGCCGAAGGGGTTGCGGAGTTAAGCATCCGATGCCCTTGATTTGATAGAAGGTCCGACGACATTAACCGAGCCGGACGTACCTCTTCGGACAGAAAATCCTTCGCAACAATGGCCGAAGGAATGGCCAAATCAGTTGACGGGGTTTCCACCCGACGATGCTTGGGCCTGTTGGCTTCGGCAGCAGCCACGT